AGGTTTCCATCTGTATACTGTATGCATATGCAACTTATGGTGAAAGAAAGCTGCTAATGTGAATTTAAAGGTGGCTGGTGAATACTTTTACATATGATTGTATAAGCAAAGTTGGTAACTTATATTTTGTAGGCGGTGATGCAATGATTTAAATTTTCCCAAATATTCTTATGTAGTAGCAATCTTTTAGTGACCATTAAACATAGATCGTATGACAGCCTTAGTCTGCAGATTAACTATTGCCTACAATTGTTTCTGAAAATATTATAGTTTTCACTGCCAATTTGTCAATAATCATAGATCGTATGACAGCCTTAGTTTGCAGATTAACTATTGGCTACAATTGTTTCTGAAAATATTATAGTTTTCACTGCCAATTTGTCAATAATCATAGACTGAATGACAGCTTTGGTTTGCAGCCGTAGTTCTCTTCTCCTAAGTTTTGCACTTTCTACGAGGATGTTAATTTGTATGTTTTAGCATGGTAGGGGTAGGGATAATATGATATAGGTGCACGTCTAGAACTTGAACAGCCTAGGATCGATCAACTCCTCATGCCTTCCGATAGCGTATCCAGCAAATGTTTGGCTTTTAGCATGAAAGTTTTAGGTCAGAATGTGTTACTGAGTCTATTAAATCATTGTCGTTTGGATTTTTCTAGAATCCAGACCATGTAGAATCAATTAATCAGCTTATGTTAGTTGTTTGGGGAACAATAAATATCGTTAACCATTGATGTGATGGCATAAACAAGCCAACAGAATTTGTGAGATCCCACATCAGTCAAAGAGGGGAACGAAACATTCTTTATAAGGGTGTGGAAACCTCTTCCTAGCAGATGCGTTTTAAAAACCTTGAAGTAAAGCCCAAAAGGGAAAGTCCAAAGAAGACAATATCTGCTAACGATGAATTTCGGCTGTTATAGAATTGATGCGGTGGAGATGAAGGTATTGTAGTAGGGTAAAAGCTAATGACAAACAAAGGCCATTTGTAACCGCTCAATTGACTATGTTTTCATCACTGGGCACAAGCCAACCGAATTGATGAGTTAAGAAATCAATGGTACATCTCGGGCATGCTACCCTTTCCCATGTTTGCCATTTTGTGCAGTTAAATCTGAGTAGAAAGTAGGATGTGTGAATCTCTTTAAGGCCTTTTGCTAATAGATAGTGTCAGCTCAGGAGCAAGATCACATTCTATTTGAAGGTATTTCAGTTAACATAAATCATCATTTGCAAGTTCTATGATTGAAAGGATACATTTCATAATAAAGCTTAGGCTGTTCTTTCTCACTTCATTGATCTCTGCTGAGTTTTATTCGTTTTCTTTCTTGTTCTTTTTTTGCGACTTCTCATTGTATTACATTCTCTTTGTTTGTTCATCAGAAGAGACAATTGTCTGCCAAAGAACAATTGATTCTCAGACTAGAAGGTCAATATCCAGCTGATGTTGGTATACTAGCAGCATTTTTTCTCAACTATGTCAAGTTAAAACCGGGCGAAGCATTATATGTTGGTCCAAACGAACCCCATGCGTATATATCTGGGGAATGCATTGAGTGTATGGCAACCTCTGACAATGTTGTTCGGGCTGGCCTTACCTCGAAGAAAAGAGACGTTCAAGCCCTTCTTTCAATGCTCAACTACAAACAGGTAATCACAAATTTATGTTAAGCTGGTGTCTTATAATGCTGCAATTTGAATGTGTTAAAAGATTATCGCCTTTTGGTTCTTGTTTTCGATGTCCTCTTTCTCGAAGTCCCCGCTGCAGGCTTACCTATTAAAGATAATTAATCTGCATTTTGGATTTTGACCTGTAGTCTTACATGCACAGAATATGCAACCACTATTCACAATAGGGTATTCATATTGGTCTGAGCTCACCTAGATTTTCATATGAGTAGTTTATCCCCCCCCGCCCCCCATTTTTTCTACTGCTTACCAGCAGAAAGTAGCGAAAAACGCCTCAGCAGTACAATTTTGAACGACTCGATTCATATCGATCCTGGTTCTCACCTCCTCTAATCTGCCCTGTCCTATGCCTTAGAGTTTTACTGAGAAGATTGTTCATAATCATTTCATTCAACATACAGGGTTTTCCTGAAATTTTGCAAGGAGTTTCGTTGAACGAATACACGAGAAAGTACGCCCCTCCCTTCGATGAATTCGAAGTTGATCGCTGTATTCTTCCCCAAGCTGCATCTGTGTCTTTCGCTTCTGTCCCAGGACCATCTCTCTTTCTGGTGATATCTGGAAAAGGGACAATTATCACAGGCTATTCTGAAGAAAGTACATTACAAGAGGGTGAAGTTCTGTTCGTTCCAGCATACATGGAGGTCAGTATAACATCTGGAGCTACAGAATTACGTCTGTATAGAGCTGGCGTCAACAACAGATTCTTTGGGGACTCGTGATTTATACAAGTACAAATGAATAAATCAAGAATATACAGGAAGAAAACAGGTTATAAGAAGAATTGTTGCATTGATTGTTCTTTGTGATCTGCTCATTTTTATTGATTAAATTGCATCAAAGTTGTGCATATACATTTGTTAGAAGAATAAATAGGGTATTGAGTTATATTCAAGTTCTTCATGATTGCAGATTGCTTCATTTATTTCTGTCCTGTCAGTTTATCAGCTGTCAGAAGTGGATATTCAAAGTTCTTTGTTTGGGAATAGTAGATCAAAGGCTCCCTTCCCAGTCCTCATTTCAGGATAGATCAAGAGGGCACAGGGGTTATGCAGTAGGCCATTTGGGTGTGATTGGCAGTGGTTTTATACAATTCTTTTATAGTTTTCATATGCTTATAAGACTTGTTTTCATTAAATGGATTAATATAATATTAGAAAGAAATACTTGTGATTATATAGACGGACCACTCATTGATGCGGATGATATAATATTTTCGTCTCCGTTTTTTTTTTATTCTAAAAGATCATGTGATAAGTATTTTTACTATTTTGATAGAATTTTGGGGAAATAATAATTTTATTTAAATAATTTTGAGTTTTGAATTAGGAATTTAGATTTTTTTTTATACCATGTAATTTTAAATGTTGAATTCTCAAGGGCGAGAGCACTGGCTTAATATGCAAGGGAAGGTATGGCAATTGGTATCTCTGTGTACTTTTTCTTTTTTTTGCTATTATGTTGTTCAATTCATTAATTTAGATTTTAACTAAAAGAATAGGTGGACGTTGGTGGGAGTAGTTATTGAGCATGACTAAAAATCATGTGGGCTCGATAGGTGCAACTTCGAATTTGCCTTCATGTTTTTTTATTTTTCTATTACAAGTTTACAAGGATTAATTTTAGATGCCGGAGTGGATCAGTTAGGACTCGATTTTCGAGGCTTCGAAAAACCTGAATCGTGACTAAAAAGACAAAATCGAAAACAAAGAAAATGAAAAGAAAAGTAAAATAAGAAAGTACCATTTAATTAAAACAAAAGAGGGAGAAGATTTGTTTCGAAAATATTAAAAAGGAAGTTACAAATATAAAATGAAATACAAAAGACTCTAAAAAATCGACAAGGGACTGACGCTCCGGAACGACCCCCTTTGTGACTGCACAGCTCTCGAATACTCCTCCACCACGACCGGTACCTAAAAAAAGAAGGTAAAAAGGAACGAGTATAAAAATTATACTCAGTAAGCCACCTACTTGTAGGCTCTCGTCGCACCCTAAACTTATCAAACAACCACAGACTTTCCTTTAGCTCTAAAACATCTGATTCTGGTCTTAGCTCCTTAGGGCTTCCCCCTTGGGACTTGCCCTTTCAGGCTTCTTTGGTTCTTAGACCTTCTATTTATACCCCTAGAGTTCCTTTTATGCTAACCTGTGTTGGACTGGTGCCTTGCGAGTGGCTACCTCGGCATGGGTATGAGATTACCTGGGGTCTTGCCTAGGAAGTGAGCTGCAACCCCCTAGTCCCATGGTAATCCCCCTGTATTTGGGAGGGCTACCTCCGCTATTCCATCCAGCTAAACGATCAATTACGACGTGGGTATCCCATTTCCCATACTAAACGGCTATCGAGCAGTCAAGTCCTGATCAGGAACCCGCTGGTCCCCCACAAAGCTATATCACCATCCACACACAAGTAGCCTAAGAGTACTCTAGAGGTGGTTTGTATGCTATGATGGTCTGTTAGACTACTAGGGAAAGGTTAAGTCTATTCCCTAGTGACTTGTCGCTTTGACCATAAATCCCTAGACTTTATCATAAATGTGGGTCATGGAAATTAACTGATTGTGCACACAACTATCATCCAGTATCATCATACATAATTCATGCAAAGTAAACATACATGCTCAACCGGGCGATAACATCCATCATCTCCCAGAGCGCAAAGTTCGTAAGTTTCCATCCTCCTTTCAGCATGAATTAAACATATACATATGAAGCGAAAGCTTAAAAACATAATTGCAACACTCAGATAATTCTCAAAATACTTCACATAATACATCCATACTCTTAACAACTAAGTTACATACATTCAATCATGGAAATCTACCACCTAAGGTAATTAAACTTGCATAACCAAGCGACTCATACAAGTATTTCTTCCTAAAATTCCGTATGGTGACTTACCTGATTGACGCGTGTTCTTCGTTTAGCGCTTCTACTCGAATAGCGTGTCTATCAAAGTTCTATTTCATATAGAAATAGGGTTAGAGTTGGAATCGGGAGGAAATTCGGGGAAAAAAGAAGTCGAACCGGCTGAAAACGGCACCTCACGCGCATGCACGAGCTCACACGCGCGCGTACGGACGCGCATGAGGGAAGAAAGACGCGCGCTGAGGTGTTGCCACGTGGCGCCCCGTGAACGGTCATCCGAGGTCGAGGTTGTCGGTTCGAAACCGAAAGGACACGCTGGAAATCCGAATTCTTTTACGCTGACGCGTGACAACGCGAAGCCGGGTTGCGCGCGGGTAATCGGGTAGCGAGCCGCCGACCTTCGAATCCTGCCCGACGCGAAGTATTTCTTTGATTTTATTTTCCAATAGACGCTTGACACGTGGCCCTTCTTCTCCGGCCAGCTTTCTCCTGCGATTTCCAGCATACGATTACTTTTTTCCATTTTCTTTGCATTTTCACATTTCGTTCTGCTTAACTCGGATCAACATGGTTCCTCCACGAGATTTGTAGAGCGTATATTCATCTTTAGTCAGGTATTTTTCTTGTAATTTATTTCTAATCCCCGGGATAATTATCTTAGTCGGAAGATGGCAAGAAACATCAATACCTACCTCTTTGACGACGCCGGAACTCCCATTTCCGATCTGAATCGATTCCAACTTCTTTCACATGTTTTGAGCGTAATCCTCTGTAGATTAACATACTCAAATTTCAGGTTCTAACTCTTACTGTATCTCACAGATGAAAGGAAATACGAGAATCTAGATTCAATAACTTTAACTTTAGATTTTTCCTCGTTTCTTGATGGTTTTGGACGATCTAAAAGTTAAGAATGTTCTCCTGTGAAGATTTCACAAAGAAGGCTCGGCCGGAACCGGATTCCTCGTGGCCGGAGCTGCAGTTACCTCTCTTTCTCTCTCTAGAACTTTCTCTCTCCTCCTTTTCTATTATTTTCTTTTCTTTTCCCCTCTTTTCCTTTTTTTTTTTTAATCATATCTCACTAAACTCAATTCCAAGGGTTTGACAAGAAGGGGTATAATGACTAAATTACTCTTTCGATTTGACTTTGACCATACTAATAATTTTCCATCATTTTTCTTTTATATTTTTTTTTTTAAGTTCTTCCTTTCTTTCCACTCATTTTTCCCTTTCTGTCTCACCACAAGTCTCTAAGACCTTCAATAAAATATCGAGAGTTTGACTTTAAAGGAAAAAATTAAATTTTAAGCTTTCTATTGAAGTTCGACTCTTACAGGATGTGTCAGAGTAGTTGTCAAGCATGACTAAAAATTATGTGGGTTATGCTCGTGTAGGCTTGAATCTTGTCACTCACAGGATGAATAGAAATCATGTCCCATGCGGGGTGCCACAGTCATACATTTTCAACTGTGAGGCGTTGTGATCTTGATACGCTCACGACAAGCTTTGGAGAGGACTCAAGCCTGATTCATATTTTTCGCCCAGTTTTGTGGCTTCGTCAAATTGTCGATTAAGTTTGCCTACTCCAATCGAATATCGCTTGTGCAGAACCCAAGTTTGTTTGTCATATGTTGTCTGTGCGTGCATATTCAATCTTTGTGACACAACAACGTCGTATCTCATTGTCATCTCTGTTCCCAACAACACAATCCATGCATCGTGATGTCGTCCCATGTTTCGAGACACATCGCTCATCTTGGCTTGATCGGACACATTCGTTGGGAACTGACCCATGTGTCAACATCTCATACGGACATCCCAAAAATCTATTCATTCGGGTTCACTTGAGCATTGGATTCTCTCATGTCCATGCTAAACCATTTACGACATACGTTCCAAATAGCGGCTGCATAATTCAACCTCCGACATATGGGCTAAGGCGAATGGTAGGAGTGGTTATCGGGCATGACTAGAAATCATGTGGGGTATGCAGTGTGTCACGGTCGTACTTCTTCAACTGGCGTCATGATCCCTTAAAGTGGAACTCAAGCCCCAATTCAAACTTTTCATCTGGCTTTGTGGTTTCGTCAAACCTTCGACGACATTTACCTTCGCCAACCGAGCATCTCTTGTGCGGAATCCAAGCTTGTTCAACCACACATGTCGTTCGTGTTGCTCAAGTGATTTTTGGGCATGACTATAATTTTAGATTTTAACTACAACCATCTTAAAATTATGTGCTCCGTTGGAGGGGCTAACCGAGGGATTATTAGGCATGACTATAAATTATGGCAAGGCAGGTGTGCAAGAGTGATTATCGGGCATGACTAGAAATCATGTAGACTTTGCCCGTGCAGGTTTAAAATCTGCCACTCACGAATGAATTTTTTTCTTCTTTTTTCCTATTTTCGTGCCACGATCGTACTTCATAAATCGGAGTCATGATCCCTTAAGGTGGAAGACCTTCAATGAGATTTACCTTTGCAAACCAAACATCACTGGTACAGAATCTAAGTTTGTTCTACCACACGCGTCGTTCACTCGAGTGGTTAATGGTCATGACTATAATGTTAGATTTTAACTAAAACAATCTTAAAATTGTGTGCTACATTGCAGGGGTTGCCTAAGTGGTTATTAGGCATGACTACAGATTATGGCAGGGTGGGTGTGTCGGAGTGGTTATCGGGCATGACTAGAAATTATGTGGGCTTTGCTCTCGCAGGTTTGAATCCTGCCACTCACGAATGGCACGAATGGATTTTTTTCTTCTTTTTTTCTTTTTGCAGTGTGACACGGTCGTACTTCTTCAACCGGCGTGATGATCCCGAACTCAAGCCCCATTCAAATTTTTCATCCAACTTTGCAACCAAACATCACTTGTAAAGAATCTAAGCTTGTTCGACCACACGCATCACGTCTTTCGTGCTGTTAGAGTGGTTATTGGGCGACTATAATTTTATATTTTAACTAAAACAATCTTAAAATTGTGTGCTCGTTGCAGGGGTTGCCCGAGTGGTTATTAGGCATGACTACAGATTATGACAGGGTAGGTGTGCCAGAGTGATTATCGGGCATGGCTAGATATCATGTAGGCTTTGCCCGCACAGGTTTGAATCCTATCACTCACGAATAAATTTTTTTCTTCTTTTAGTGTGTCACGGTCGTACTTCTTCAACCAGCGTGAAGGTCCCGAACTCAAGCCCCATTCAAATTTTTCATCCGGCTTTGTGCTTTATGGTTTCGTCGGACCTTCAACGAGATTTACCAGAATCTAAGCTTGTTTGACCACACGCGTCGTGCTGCTCGAGTGGTTATTGGGCATGACTATAATTTTAGATTTTAACTAAAACAATCTTAAAATTGTGTGCTCCGTTGCAGGGGTTGCCCGAGTGTTTATTAGGCATGACAACAGATTATGGTAGGGTGGGTGTGTTGGAGTGGTTATTGGGCATGGCTAGAAATCATGTGGGCTTTGCCCTTGCCACTCACGAATGAATTTTTTTCTTCTTTTAGTGTATCACGGTCGTACTTCTTCAACCAGAGTGATGTGCTCCGTTGCAGGGGTTGCCTGAGTGGTTATTAGGCATGACTACAAATTATGATAGGGTGGGTGTGTCGGAGTGGTTATCGGGCATGTCTAGAAATTATGTGGGCTTTGCCCGCGCAGGTTTGAATACTGTGTGCTCAAGCCTGATTCATATTTTTCGCCCAATTTTGTGGCTTCGTCAAATTGTCGATTAAGTTTGCCTTCTCCAACCGAATATCGCTTGTGCAGAACCCAAGTTTGTTTGCCATATGTTGTCTGTGCGTGCATATTCAATCATTGTGACACAACAACGTCATATCTCATTGTCATCTCTGTTCCCAACAACACAATCCATGCATCGTGATGTCGTCCCATGTTTCGAGACACATCGCTCATCTTGGCTTGATCGGACACATTCGTTGGGAACTGACCCATGTGTCAACATCTCATACGGACATCCCAAAAATCTATTCATTCGGGTTCACTTGAGCATTGGATTCTCTCATGTCCATGCTAAACCATTTACGACATACGTTCCAAATAGCGGCTGCATAATTCAACCTCCGACACATGGGCTAAGGCGAATGGTAGGAGTGGTTATCGGGCATGACTAGAAATCATGTGGGGTATGCAGTGTGTCACGGTCGTACTTCTTCAACTGGCGTCATGATCCCTTAAGGTGGAACTCAAGCCCCAATTCAAACTTTTCATCTGGCTTTGTGGTTTCGTCAGACCTTCGACGACATTTACCTTCGTCAACCGAGCATCTCTTGTGCGGAATCCAAGCTTGTTCAACCACACATGTCGTTCGTGTTGCTCAAGTGATGTTTGGGCATGACTATAATTTTAGATTTTAACTACAACCATCTTAAAATTATGTGCTCCGTTGGAGGGGCTAACCGAGGGATTATTAGGCATGACTATAAATTATGGGAAGGCAGGTGTGCAAGAGTGATTATCGGGCATGACTAGAAATCATGTAGACTTTGCCCGTGCAGGTTTAAAATCTGCCACTCACGAATGAATTTTTTTCTTCTTTTTTCCTATTTTCGTGCCACGATCGTACTTCATAAATCGGAGTCATGATCCCTTAAGGTGGAAGGCCTTCAATGAGATTTACCTTTGCCAACCAAACATCACTTGTACAGAATCTAAGTTTGTTCTACCACACGCGTCGTTCACTCGAGTGGTTAATGGCCATGACTATAATTTTAGATTTTAACTAAAACAATCTTAAAATTGTGTGCTACATTGCAGGGGTTGCCTAAGTGGTTATTAGGCATGACTACAGATTATGGCAGGGTGGGTGTGTCGGAGTGGTTATCGGGCATGACTAGAAATTATGTGGGCTTTGCTCTCGCAGGTTTGAATCCTGCCACTCACGAATGGCACGAATGGATTTTTTTCTTCTTTTTTTCTTTTTGCAGTGTGACACGGTCGTACTTCTTCAACCGGCGTGATGATCCCGAACTCAAGCCCCATTCAAATTTTTCATCCGACTTTATGCTTTGTGGTTTCGTTAGACCTTCAAAGATTTACTTGCCAACCAAACATCATTTGTACAGAATCTAAGCTTGTTCAACCACACGCATCGTTCGTGCTGCTCGAGTAACTCAAGCCCCATTAAAAATTTTCATGCGGCTTTGTGCTTTCGTCAGACCTTCAACGAGATTTACCTTTGCCAACCAAACATCACTTGTACAGAATCTAAGCTTGTTCGACCACACACGTCGTTCGTGCTGCTCGAGTGGTTATTGGGCATGACTATAATTTTAGATTTTAACTAAAACAATCTTAAAATTGTATGCTTAGACCGAGTGGTTATTTGACATGACTACAAATTATGGCAGGGTGGGTGTGTCGGAGTGGTTATCGGATATGACTAGAAATCATGTGGGCTCAAATCCTGCCACTCACGAATGAGAATTGTATGTAGTGTGACACGGTCGAACTTCTCAACTGGTGTGATGATCCCGAACTCAAGCCCCATTCAAATTTTTCATGCGGCTTTGTGCTTTGTGGTTTCGTCAGACCATCAACGAGATTTACCTTGCCAACCAAACATCACTTGTACCGAATCTAAGCTTGTTTGACCACACGCATGGTTCGGCTCGTGTGGTTATTGGGCATGACTATAATTTTAGATTTTAACTAAAACAATCTTAAAATTGTGTTCCGTTGCAGGGGTTGCCCGAGTGGTTATTCGGCATGACTACAAATTTCCAACCAAACATCACTTGTATCGAATCTAAGCTTGTTCGACCACACGCATGGTTCGGCTCGAGTGGTCATTAGGCATGACTATAATTTTAGATTTTAACTAAAACAATCTTAAAATTGTGTTCCGTTGCAGGGGTTGCCCGAGTGGTTATTAGGCATGACTACAAATCATGGCAGGGTGGGTGTGCCGGAGTGGTTATTGGGCATGACTAGAGATCATGTGGGCTTTGCCCGCACAGTTTGAATCCTGCCACTCACGAATGAATTTTTTTCTTCTTTCAGTGTGTCACAGACTAGAAAACATGTGGGGTAT